AACCCGAATGGGTCTTGTGCGTCGAGTACCACATGATTGGACTCCTGATGAAATAAAAGAAAAAATCACTCTTCCTGTAGGCTGCGGAGAGATAATTAAAATAAGACGTATTAACCATAAAGTTTTTATTGATAATACTGTGACATGGAAACCTACCCAGTCAGTAGTTATTACCTTTGATGGCCAAGTACTTCCTTCCCGTGTATTTTTATGCTATAATGCATTAGTTGTAGACCGCTATATATATCCAACAGTCCAATGTTTTAACTGCTGTCGTTTTGGGCACACTAAACTGCAGTGCAGGTCTAAACCTCGCTGCTTTAAATGTGGTCAGGATCATACTGGTGATACATGTTCAGTTGAGGAAGAAGATGCACAATGTTGTAATTGTTCTGGTTCCCACTTTGCTAATAAACGAGTTTGTCCAGAATCCGAAAGACAAAGGCGTATAAAAGTGACTATGGCAAATGATAATACTTCTTATTTTGAGGCAGCAAAAGTCCATCCATCTGTTAATAAGTCTTACTCTGAGGTACTAACATCCCAGCCAACTAAGGCATCCTCTAATTTTAAAACTACACCAATTAAAAATGATACTCAACATAATTCTTATAAAAAAACTGTCTTTATGAAACCTAAAGTTCGTTCACCTTCTCTTCATATGGGGTTTAATCAAGCAGAACATATGAATATGATCAAAGATTATGATATGCCCAACAACAGTGGTAATGGTACCGCTATTATACATGAATTTAACAAGAATTCAAATTTGACAATTACAGATGTAATTGTCCCTCTAATAAATTTTTTAACTCAATTTAATAATTATGAACCGTCCCACGTTGCTCCTTTACTAGACCTTCTTAATAAAATTACACATTCAAATCATGGCTCAATTGGCCAAAGTTATTCAATGGAATTGCCGCAGCATCAATAACAAGAAAATTTACTTAATAAATACATACAATCCATTTATTATTTCACTATCAGAAACCTGGTTAAAATTAGGATTTAATTTCAAAATTCCAGGATATTTTTGTTTAAGACAAGATAGAGCAGATGGCCATGGCGGTGTTGCTCTATTGATAAAGAACTTTTACCAATATAAACATTTTGTATTACCTTTACCTTGTAGCGAATACTCTGCTATTGCTGCAATTGTAAACAATATCTGTTTTGTGTCAATTTATGTACCTCACCCAACTACATCTATTTTGAATGAAATCAATAACCTTCTATCTCTACTTCCAAAACCTTTTATAGTGCTTGGTGATTTCAACAGTCACCACCAGTCTTGGGGCAGTTCAACCACAAATAGCGTAGGAGAGCAACTTATGGACATATTGGATAAAAACAATTTGTGTACACTTAACACTGGTATTCCTACCCGTGTTACTAGCCCCACAGATTTTATTAGTGCTGTTGACCTCTCAATTTGTACACCTAGCCTTGCATCATCATTACTCTGGCATCCTCTCACCTCATCTTTTGGAAGTGATCACTTTCCAATAATATTAACCTTTCCATTTGCAAATAAAAAGTCTGTTAAGAGAAAAACATTTAATAAATATAAACTTCATAATGTAAATTTTTCTGTATACAAAAACAAAGTGGAAGAAAAATTTTCAACACTACCCATCTTGGAAAATGGTAATGAAGATGAATGCTCTGCAGCTTTGGCTAGATGTATGGTTGAAGTTGCTGATAGTATATTTCCTATTAAAAATTCATGTAGTAATTTAATCCCCTCACCACCCTGGTGGGACAAAGATTGTACTTTGGAGATTTCCCGGAGAAAGAAGGCTGAGCGCCAGTATCGCGAAAATATGACCACGGAAAACTTTGCAGTTCTTTTACGGGTTACATCTGAAGTTAAAAAATCGTTAAAGAGGAAAAAGTCAGAATCCTGGAAAAAAATTTGTGCTTCAGTTAGTCCTGAAACCCATCCGTCTATAGTTTGGCGTAACATACGTAGATTTCGCTCTGCTTTTGTTGAACCATCTATCTGTAGTCTATCTTTACATTTAGCCAAACAATTCATGGATAACTTAGTTCCACCATCAGTAAAAGAGATATTAATACTTTCACCGTATCAAAATAATTTCGGTTTAAATTCTCCATTTTCTATGCAAGAGCTAAAAGGGATCCTTGCTAATCTTAAAGACTCTTGTCCAGGTAAAGACAATATTCCGTATTCCTTTGTAACTAATCTGAGTGATAATACCCAAAATTATTATCTACAAATTATAAACTCTGTGATGCTGACAGGTAATATTCCTCCATCATGGAGGCAACAAACAGTATTGCCATTACTAAAACCGAATAAATCGCCTGCTGATGTATCATCTTATCGACCGATTATTCTTTCTACAGTACTGGTTAAAATAGCTGAACACCTTTTGAAAAATAGATTAGAGTGGTTAGTTGAGAGCAAGAATCTTTTGTCAAATAGCCAATACGGTTTTAGGAGAAACAGAAGCACATCGGACTGTATTGGAATTTTAACATCAGATATCCGGATAGCTTTTTCCGATAATGAATCAGTTGGGGTGGTCTTTCCCCACATAAAGTCAGCATATGATAATGTTAATTTATCGATTTTACGCGATAAATTAGTTGATTTGCAAATTCCCGTAATGCTAACCAATTTTATTATAAATCTGTTTTCTGAAAGATATCTAATACTTCATATAGATGATACAACAATTGAAAGAACAGCGATAAAAGGCTTACCACAAGGGTCAGTCATCAGTCCGTTGCTTTACAATCTATATACCCATGATCTTGAAGATTCCTTAGATAGCTCTTGCTCGGTTATTCAATATGCCGATGATGTAGTTTTATACTGTAATAATAAGTCTGTAAATAACATAAACAATGATATAAATTATTCGTTATCATTATTTAAAAAATGGTTAGATAGAAACGGCCTAGAGTTGTCTGTTTCTAAGACAATTTTAGTACTTTTTTCTAGGATGAGAAACCCGCCTGACCTTAATGTATGCTTTGGTGAAACTTGCCTGCTGCAGAAGCAAGAAGTAATGTATTTAGGTATCATTCTTGATACTAAGCTCACCGGGAAATCTCATTGTGAATATATATCAGCAAAATGCGAACGTAATATTAATATTTTAAGATGTCTTGCTGGCGTTTGGTGGGGCAGCCATCCGACTTCGTTGAGATTGCTTTACATTGCCCTTGTGAGAAGCATATTAGACTATGGTACTTTTTTGTTGGAGCCAGGAAATGCTGGCGCTCTTCGGAAATTGAATAGTATTCAGTCAAAAGCCTTACGAATAATTTCTGGTGCCATGAGGTCTAGCCCTATATGCGCGTTACAGGTAGAATGCAATGATCCTCCATTACACCTTCGTAGACAGTATTTAGCCGATAGATATTTTTATAAGGCCGTTCAATTGACAAACAACCCAGTTATTGACAAATTAAGAATTTTGTCGGAAAAGGTTATTACGGCTACTTATTGGTCTCGTAAGAGCCTTCCACCACTAGTTAAAACCTTTAATAGATACAAAGCTAAAGACATTCCGGTCCATCACTTCCATATTCCCCCTATTTTTAATACAGACTATGATGCTTTATCTATTAACCCTAATATAATTTATAACCTACACATCGACGATAAGGCTAATGCAAATGTCTACTTTAATGCTATAGTAAGTGAGACCTGGCACCAATGGCACAAAATATTTACTGATGCGTCTAAAACCGCACAGCAGGACGTTGGAGTTGGAATCTTCCACAGCAACTACAAGATTCAACAAAAAATACGTCTGCCTCCACAGACTTCAGTTTTTACTGCCGAGTGCCTCGGTATCTACAAAGCAGTAGAATATATAAGGCTGGCTAAACTAAAGAACACCATTATTTTTACTGACTCCTTAAGCGCATTATATGCGCTAGCAAAATTCCCATTCAGATCAAAAAATTATCCATTAATCTTAAAGACAAGGGAGTTGCTTTATTTAAGTTTATTAAAGGGATATTCGGTTTCTTTTGCCTGGGTACCTAGCCATTGTGGCATAATTGGTAATGAATATGCCGATTACCTCGCTCGGGACGCAGTAAAATGTGGTGATCTTTATTATTATAAGAACTATTCTCATGATTTAATTAATATGTCACAAACAACATTACAACATTCATGGTCCAGGTTATGGGTGGAGAGTAATAAATCAAAAGCTAAGTACTATCGCTCATTACAACCAACTTTACTTACTAAACCTTGGTTTTCCAAATTAAGGTTTAGTAAATCAGTTACTACAATTTTAATCCGAATGCGCCTCGGACATGTTTGTACTCCTGATCGTTTGGCAAAATATGGTATAATAGATACATCCACATGTGAATGTGGCGAGGTTGATGCTGACGTTAACCATATTTTCTTTTCTTGCCCCAGATATGACAGAACCGCCTTTTTAGATTCATTGAATACAGCAAATATTCCTTTTCCTACGTCCATTCCTTCCCTTCTTTATAATAATAATCCTGATGTATATATATGTTTATCTAAGTTTATCAGAAAAAATGATATAAAAATTTAGTTTATCTTCATATTTATATTTATACTTTGGTTCCCTTTATTTACCTATATTCCCCTACCTACTCACCTGTTGTTCCTTGTTGTCATTCATCGCAAATCTCCCTTTTATCTTGTTAATATCGTTTCCTACTTTTTACCATCTGTTATCACCACATTATCCAACCACCAACTATCCATACTCTGCCCCTTTAATCGATAAAGTTTAATCGATTTACTACCCAATCACATCAAATAAAGCTCGCATATGGCAAATGGCAACATTAGCCGTCATGCCATAATAAAAGAAGAAGAAGAAGAAGAAGACTGTAGATGTCGCAGTCAGAGAAAGTAGCAACGAAAAAAGTTGGAACTTTATATTATTCTAACATCAGACCTCTCCGCATCAGATCAGATGGGGCAGTTTACAAAGTTTTCTTTAATGCAACATCTCGTTTCCCAGATGGGATACGCGAACTTCGAGCAGGTCGGCCACGGAGTCCACCTGCGCCAGTTCTCCAGAGCGTTCGTGTTTGAGGACGAGGGCAGCGGGCAGAGGGTGGTGTTCGTCAGTGTCGACGCCGCCATGATGGGCAACGGAGTAAGGAAAGAGGTAAGAGTGGTATAACATCGTACGCAGACGTACTCCCAATGGAATACTGACCTATTAGGGCCGATTCACACCGGAACGGCAGCGGCCGAAAGCAACGCAGCGAGCTTACACGCTGAAAGTCGTGTTAAATAATTATAAACTATAACTACACAGTTAGAAGACCTGCAGGCTGATCGCGATATTTATTAATTTGAACGATGCGCCAAAGTTCAATTATGGTTCAATCTTGGTCCAATTCTAATTGCAACTCAACTTTATTAATATCGCGATAATTTTCACCTGTCAACTGAAACCTACTTTAGGTTTTTGACTGAAGTTTACAGGGGTACGGTCCAGGGGACCATTCGCCTAACGGGATTGCTTTGGAAAACGCTATCGCTCTTGCCTCGTGCTCTTTTTTTTTTCTTTTGCATTGGTAATAACAATATTAAAGAAAATGAGCGTAAGGTATTTGAAAAGCTTCGGCAGTCAGAAATAACAAAATGAAATCGTGAGCGATAGCGTTTTCCATAGCAATCCCGTTAGGCGAATGGCCCCTATTTGTGATACGTTTACATCTCAACTAGCTGTCAGAACTTTAGCGCGATACGAAATGTCATAAAAGAGTTGCGGTTCATTTAGGGTTCAATGCGTTACACAGTCGTTTGACATGTGGAACCTTTTCAAGCGATATTGGTCTTTTGGGTATGTGGATAAAGTTTAAAAAAAATTCACACTGCTTTCAGTGAGAAAGTAGTGCTTGCCGCGTCGCACGCGCTGCTGACCACTGCCATTCCTGTCCTGTGTAAATCGTCCCTTAGTACTTAGTCCAACGTCACAAGTGTTGCAACCGGAAGCTAATACAAGTAAATATTATACCAAAGTAGGTACCTAAGTATCTATGATAATATTTGATCAGTGATATAGTGAATAATTTAAAATGATAATTTATTTATGACAGTACCAATTGAATGATGTATTCAAAACATATTATGACTGACTCTCAACCTTGAATATATCTACCTTTTTAATTGGTAGTGTGATTATATTATGTTAACTCTCTATTTCTATATCTATAAAACGACAAAGGATTTATTGTATTGATAAAGCACAAAGAAACTGTTTTTGTATGCACTTTTTATGATTCATGCCTGTTCCAGTTTACTGTTATAAGCAAGCGTAATTCTTAGAGGAAGGTAACGGAATAGGACATAGGATACTTTGATTTTATAAGGCGAAGCCTTTTTTAGTTTCAATGTTTTGAACAGTATAAGTAGTCCAGTCACTTTAGGGTTTCACCTCGGAATTTGATATAATATACTGGAAACTCTTGCTCGTACAGCTTCATTTTGGCGTTCTAAAATTTGTCTTAAAAGTCTCGTCAAACAATCTCAACTGTATACAAGGTATTGTTCACCGAAATTCACGGTTGACTTTGTATAACAGTATAGACTTTGTATTATAGCCTGAGCGCTGGGTGTTCTCCGCTTTCTATCTCGAAAAGAGTTCAGCGTATAGAAAAAAAGTTGGGACAAAAGTTGTGAGCAATTTTTTTATCTTGAATTTTCATAAAAGGCGTTCAAGTGATTGGAACTATAGAAACGGAGATAATTGCAAAAAACGATTTTCGTGACCTCTGACCTTGAATAACTTACGACGCAGACACGAGAACATATGAGACTTTTGAGACAACTTTTAGAATGCCAAAATAAACACGTACACGAGTTTCCAGCTTTTTGACCCCTTTTTTCCCTAGAGTGCATTGCACTGTTCTGTTCTGTACTATTCTGTACCCCTAACACGAATCCTTATCGAATTCGAGCGAGTGCGAATAATAATATGACTGCTACATATTTAAATCTGTTCGTCTTTTTGTAATTTCTACCTAAGTTGTACACCCTACCACTAATTTATCCACAACATCCTATGGTTGACTGGTAGAGAATGCCTACGGCATCAAGCCTGCCTTTGAACGCCTGAGCATTAAGAATAGGGTATTTGACAGTATTAAAAATAAAGTGCCAATTGTTAGTATTATTTTAGTGTTTAGAATGAATATTGACATAAGGATTTTCACTATTTTTACAGAAAAATATTCATGATTTTACTAAAAATCCACGAAAAAGATAATAGTTTTCTTATCTATTGTCACGTGACCCAAAACGATTGGGATTGGCGGAGCCTAAAATGACGTCACACGCAAGTAAACTTTCGGTTAAAGTGACATTACATTGTATCGTTCGACGTTTTAATAACAGTCGTGTGACGTCACACACTAGTGAGACGCCATATTGTCCAGAGAAACGTTTTCGCGGCAACTTGAAAATTGAGTTTTTGATTTGGTTAGTTTTACTGAAATACACAACAGAATGATGAATATCCATTTTACGGACTCCATAATTATTAGTCAATAACGTAATATCGTTTTCTTAAACTTGTCAAATACCCTATTAATTCCTTCCTAAGTTCTCGTTACCATTTGCAGGTGTTAAAAAGACTGCAGAAGCGTTACGGCAGCGTCTACACGGAGCAGAACGTAATCCTGAGCGGCACCCACACGCATTCCACGCCCGGCGGGTTCTTGATGGACTTCCTCTTCGACCTGCCCATCCTGGGGTTCGTCAAGGAGACTTATGCCGCCTATATCATTGGCATTTATAAGGTTCGGAAGTGTATATGTCATAACGCTAGCACAGTTTATGGAAATATCCATATGTTATGTGTGAAAATATCGTTATGTTAGATCTGTTAGATAAGTCTGATATTTTAGATAGTTTTTAAGAAATTTTCACATTTTTATAACTACGAAAGTATGTACAATACGATTTAAAATTGCCTGATTTTTTAAATCATGAATAAGGATTTAGATTATATAGTCTAGATTCGTAATTATTATTGCATATATATATTAATGATTATATTTTTAATAACAATTTAAGATCAGTACCCTTAGCACGAACCAATATCGAATTCGTATCGTTTGCGAGTCCGAAATGTCATAGTGAAATGTGTACTGATTTTTAGTTCTCGTTAAGTACTTTGTGCCGCTGCTGTTCAAGTTTCCATACAAAATTTGACATTGACATTTCGGTTTGCAAACTATTCGAATTCGATAATGGTTCGTACTAGGGGTACTGAAACCTAAGCACAAACTTTGACAGCTCCGTAATCGTATTGCATCGTGAAAGTTTCTATGAAAACTAAGCAGCGCCCCCCTAGCCGGACGTAACAACAAACTGGCTCCTTCTACACAATAACGATACGATTACGAATCTGCCGTAGTTCAAGCTTGGACAGTACATAGCACGAACCAATATCGAATTCGTATCGTTTGCGAGTCCGAAATGTCATTGTCAAATGTGTACTGATTTTTTGTTCTCGTTACGCGCGTTGTGGCGCTGCTGTTCAAGTTTCCATATAATATTTGATAATGACATTTCGATATTGGTCCGTGCTGAGGGTACCGATCTTATCTGCATTTATTCGAGTGTTTCTATTCGCATTCCTTCTTGACGACCTCCGTGGCCGAGTGGTTTGTACGCCGGGTTTCATGGCTGTCGCCGACTCGAGAGGTCCCGGGTTCGAATCCCGGTGGGGGCAGATGTTTGTGTGATGAATACGAGCATTTGTACTCCAGTCATGGACGTTTAAGATGTATTTAAATAAATATACTTATATATGTACAGTGTATGTATTCTATCCGTTACCCTAGCATCCCATAACACAAGCCTTATAGTGCTTACTTTGGGGCTAGGCTAATTGGTGTGAGTGTCGGAAATATTTATTTATTTATTCCAGAGCATAGTGATGGCTCACAGTAAACTAGCTCCAGCTAGGGTGGAATATGGGGAGATAGAAATAGTAGATGCCAACATAAACAGATCGCCGACATCGTATTTGAGGAATCCGCCCGAAGAAAGAGCTAAGTATGTATCATCAAATTCGGTTTTCATTGAACAGTCTGGAAAGATTTTTTATTTACTTAAAAAATAGATATACATTTTAATAACAAGCCGTCATCATCCCTATTCAATGAAACTTATATAGTTTATAATATTTTTAAGCATGTTAGTTGTTTAAAAATCAAGAAAATTTTACTAGAAAAATCCCGTCGAATGCCCGGACCGCGTGGATTTTTTTCTAGTAATCTTTTACTATAGGGGTGATAACGGGGTACAGTAAACGAAATTCTATTTAGTCGCGTCAGTTAGATGATCAAAAAATAATGGACACATATTTTTTCTTTGGGCGATCAACCAAAAAATGACAAAGTCTGACGCGTCAAAGTTTGGGAGTAGGCTCGTGACGTCACTTATTAGTAAATATTCGCTTAAAAGTGTACTCAAACGTGACGTCATGCGACTTTTCAAATCAATATATCTCTGCAATGTTTATATTATGTGAAAAAAGAAAAAATACGTGTCCAATACTTTTTGATAATCTACCTGATAAACGAAGAAAAAAAAATTAGTCATCACCCTATTGACCCCACCAGATACAAATACGACACAGACAAGACGCTCGCGCAGCTCCGTTTCCTCTCACCTTCGAATTCCATCATCGGCGTCATCAACTGGTACGCGGTGCACCCCACCAGCATGAACAATACCAACAAGTTGATCTCCTCCGACAACGTGGGCTACGCGGCCGTCTTGATGGAGAAAGAGCTCAACGGGAACAATACTCAGCCAGGAAAGGTACAGAAGATTATAGACATCGCCATCAGCATATCAATGTCCCCACTGATGGGGCACAGGCCTTCCCTGGACGGAATAGACGCTTGCCATGACCCACGGGTACTATTGGTGGGTGCTAAGAGCAGCAGATGCAGTCGGGACCAACGGCTTAACGTGCCTTCCGAAGCACGGACGTGCTCGAGACAGTATATTTTGGTCACCCATCCAATAACCGACCACAGCGAAAGTTGCTTAACTTCAACGATCGCAGCCGAACGTGCTAACCATTTGCGCCATCGAGCTGCTTAGGAGATTATAGTAATATATTTTTATTATGACAAAACATGCATTGCGGCTTACAGCAACATCCGCTTCTTGCACCCATATATCCCATACAAAACTTAGCGTAGTTCTAGTGACACTAATCGTTCTCATCATCATCAGCCTATTAATGTCCCCACTGCTGGGTCAAAGGCCTTCCCTATGGATGGAATAGGGAGATTGGGCCATGATCCACCACGTGGCCCCAGTGCAGATTGGCGGGTGCTAATGCAGCCGGGACCAACGGCTTAACGTGCCTTCCGAAGCACGGAGCAACTCGAGATAGAAGATTTTTGGTCACCCATCCAATGACCGACCACTGCGAAAGTTGCTTAACTTCAACGATCGCAGCCGAACGCGCTAACCACCCGCGCCATCGAGCTCCTCAAAAAAACTAATCGTCATACTTATATGTTATCACATCCAGGGCAACATAGTATGTGCGTTCGCATCAACAAACCTAGGCGACGTGTCTCCCAACACGCGCGGACCTAGATGCGAGTACTCCCGCGCCGTCTGCGACCAGGAGTCGTTGCTGTGTAAGGGCAAGAACGAACGATGCTTCGCGTCCGGCCCCGGACGAGACATGTTCGACAGTACCAGAATGATTGCTACTAAGCTGTTCGAGGGAGCCATGGTGAGTTCCTTTAATGAAACTCGTATTTATTAAATCTAGCACAAGCGGTCCGTGACCAGGTATCCGTCCTGTGTAAGGCAAGAACGAATGATGCTTCGCGTTTGGCCCGGGACAAGGCATTTTTGACAGTAAAAGGATGATAGCTACCAAACTCTTCGAGGGAGTCATGGTACGTTTCTCTCTTCTACTTTTTCAGCCCATTGCTATCCAATACTGAATGTAGGCCTCATGCAGCGTAAGTCATCTATCTTTTTTTATTTTTTTAATAGATAGGTCCGGCAAATGACTCCACCCAGGCCCCTTTTTCCCAGTGGGCACTTTGGGCAACTGCCCAGGGCCCCGTGATCGATAGGGCCCCCTTCGGATCAAATACAAAGTCCCTAGTTCCTGTCAAATCACCAAACGGGAGTCATAGGGGCCCCATTATCCTAATATGCCCAGGGCTTCCAATAGGTCAAAGACGGCACTGACTCCACCCCACTTGATGTTAATTAAGGTGAAGTCCAGACGCGAAGATAGCTGATACAGCAGTTCTACCTGCCACACCAACCATTCTTTACCTGCCGGCCTGCATGTTGCTTCTTCACGCCTCTTTTAAAGGATCCCAAGTTGTAAGAGGGAGGGAACACTCGCAACAAATCTCGGTATTGTGCTGTTCGCATCCAGTGCTTTCCCGTTATTTTCATAAGATTGTCTGGCCATCATATGAATGGTGAGTTCCTTTAATTAAACTCATACTCATTTATCTAGTCTAGCCTGTTATAAGCGGTGTGAGACCAGGTGGCGTTGCTGTGTAAGTGCTAGAATGAATGATGCTTCGCGTCCGGTATATGTTCGTCAGTACCAGAATGATTGCTACTAAGCTGTTCGAGGAGGCCATGGTGAGTTCCTTTAATCATCTCTTTAAGGAAATAATGGCAATCATTGATCCGAAAGTCTACAGTGTTGGTCTTATCCTTAATAAGAACATGTTCGCTAGCTCCAGGATGAACGATCTACTAAACTCTACGAAGGCGCCATGGTAATTTCCTTTAATCCAGTGGTTCTTAACCGGTGGTCCCGAAGTGGTCCGCGAAGCCATTCAGAAAAATATAACATAATTATATGTATATTTTAAGTATTTAACTGCTTGATGTTTAAATCTAAAGAAAATATAACTATTATAGAAAAAAATCCACCCGGAGCAGGCAGCAGATGGGACTCAAACCCGCACGAAAGTGCGAAGGGTGATAGGTGTCAAATCGTGAGTGTTGGTTCGTGGCAAGACAGAATTTTGTGGTCTGCAAGTGATTCCTCGTGGTCCATCAAAAGGTTAAGAACCACTGCTTTAATCAAATTCTTATTTATTCAGTATAATAAAGATTATACTGAGTGAAAAGCCACTAACTTGGTCACCCATCTACTAAGCAACTATTGCCGAAGCTGCGTAACTTCCACGATCATAGATCAGTATCGTTTACCACTGCGCTGTCGAGCTCCTTGATGTCAAGTCAACTCAACAACTTCTTATTTGTAAAGTTTCATTGTTTTGTGTTGTATATGTTATAGAAAGTACTGGAACAGCCTGGCGAGGACGTGACGAGTGGGCCCGTGGGCATGGTTCATCAGTTCGTGGAGATGCCCAAACAGGAAGCCTATGTCTTCGACCCTCTCACTGACACCTTTAACACGGTAATTACAGCAGCTATTAACGGATCAAGCTACACTAGCACTACACTTTGGAAGAAGCTATATCTATTATACTTATAGAGATAGCTTAGATAACTAGGATATTTATCTTTCTGTTCTTGTCCTATATCTTTGCTTTGCCATAGAGAAATAAACTCCAAACCAACTGTTAAATTCTACTCTTAGATGCTACTTCTAGAATCCTTCGCTGCTTCCGTGATTCAACTTAAACCTTCGATAAAATTCTCCTTTTTCACTTGTCATTATTAATCTGCATTTAAAAGATATCAGGTGGTATTTTCTAAGTTTTTATATCGCTCTCAGTTTAAAATGAGACATTTCTTATAATAATATAGGTATAATCCAATAACTTCGCTTGTTCCGTAACGGCAGAGTGCTAAAGTCCACGGCTGCTTGCCCGCGATGGGGTACAGTTTCGCAGCCGGAACTACCGACGGGCCCGGCCTCTTCGACTTCCGGCAGGGGACCGTCTCCGGCAACCCATTGTGGAATGCTGTGCGGGACTTCCTGGCCGAACCCACGCCAGAAGACGTGGAATGCCAAGCGCCTAAACCAATCCTGCTGGCTACCGGGAGGGTATGTCATAATATTATTATCTCCTATAGAACTTGTTAACATTGAGTCACTACCGTTTACCTCAGACACGAACACCACGCGTCTAAGCCGATCCCGATAACTACCGGGTGGGTATGTTATAATACTGCCACTTTCTATACATTTAGCCACTGCCATTCTTTTACCTGGCACAGACACACAGAACGCCGTAAGAAATTTCTTTAAAGAGAGCTCACACTACAAGACGTGGAATGCCACGCGCCCAAATTCCTTGGCCACTAGAAGGGTACATTTTAATGCTACCCCGTTTAGAGACACTTGTACCATATCTTCACCTGGTACAGACATACAGACATACGGATGTGAAATACTGACACCCCGTTTACATTAAGCCACTGCTTTTTGAGGTCCTGGTTGCTTCAAATTACTGGCAAAAATATTATCGTAGCAATGTTTTTTGCGTTAACCTAAGCGTTCCCTATCCAACTGTCAAGTAAAACTAGTAACAAGGGATTGAGAGAAATGAAGAAAATGTCCGGACAAAAGTTCGTTTAGGTACTCGGTGTAATCTTATAACTTTTTCTCTTTCTAGAGATGTCAGTTTCATGCGAGTGTTGCTCAGTCCATTCTATATGTCTATGTATTTACATTATCGCATCAAGTTCAAATAATGACAAGGCAGATGAGCGAGAGGTGTTGAGAGTGTGCTTGGACTGCGCTCTTTGATGTTTGCATCAAACGTTATTGTTAGCGGCATGTTCACATGTCAAATCAGAAATCAATATATCTTTATTCAAATTGGATGTATAGTACAACTCTTTTGAATAGTCCAAAATCTTTTTCCTTACCACTCGTTATGGACATATTGTTTAGTTGCGGAGAAAAACGAGCGAAAAAAGCTCCACGACATTAAAAGTCTAATGTAACAACATTTACAAATCATTACCTATGATTTATTTAATATAGAAAACCTGTTGGAATGACTGGAAAAGTTCAAACCCAAGCATTTTTGTCTCTAATATAATCAGACACTTTGTATTAAGTGCTTTTCTTATACTATCTTTAAATTTATTTATGGTTAACTCTTGGATATTGCTTGGGACTTTATAAAAGACGACGTCAGAGGGTAGATCGATATGTCTGCCAATAACATCCCACTCCCACTTCGGCTTAGGAGGCCTCTCTCTGGGTCCGCGGCCCACGTTTCTTGAAGTAGGAACACTAGTGGAAAAGTTGGGTGAATGTATGGGCCAGAATACCTTGGGGAAAAAATATCATACTTAAATCGTCCCATTGGGATTTTATTTAGTTACTCCGTGATCATGATGCTTGCAACAGTGTCGAAAGATCGGAGACTCGTAAAAAACAAGGCAAACGGTAACAATCGCGTCAATAATTATACTGTTAGTGACCATAAAAGTTTAATACAATATTTCTATTTCTATTTTTTATTTATAATCATGTACTAGAAAAAAAGGCAGCAGACAGGACTCGAACCCGCACCCTTCGCTATCCAGGCGAATGGCCTGACCATTATACTACCGCGAGTCGAATTCTTTCTAGCCTTTCTTAAGCTGCAAGGCAGCGCCATCTCTTCGCATTGTAGATAACCCACAATGTCAAATGAATACCATTACAAGTATAAAACATTTAAAAGATGAAATACTTTCTTAATATTTCTATTTTCTATTTTTGTGATGCAGATGAAGTTTCCGTACGAGTGGCAACCGCGCGTCGTATCATGCAGCGTGGCTCGCGTGGGAGGCGCCCTACTGGCCGCTGTACCCGGAGAGTTCACCACCATGTCGGGCCGTCGCATGCGGAGACTGCTGGCTTCCACTGCCAGCACTGCGGGCGCCACGCACGTCATATTAGCGGGACTGTCCAACGTTTACTCCGACTACATCGCCACCTACCAGGAGTACCAGGTTACTGAATCTATTAATACTAACTCGCATGCGGAGACTGCTGGCTTCCACTGCCAGCACTGCGGGCGCCACGCACGTCATATTAGCGGGACTGTCCAACGTTTACTCCGACTACATCGCCACCTACCAGGAGTACCAGGTTACTGAATCTATTAATACTAACTCGCATGCGGAGACTGCTGGCTTCCACTGCCAGCACTGCGGGCGCCACGCACGTCATATTAGCGGGACTGTCCAACGTTTACTCCGACTACATCGCCACCTACCAGGAGTACCAGGTTACTGAATCTATTAATACTAACTCGCATGCGGAGACTGCTGGCTTCCACTGCCAGCACTGTGGGCGCCACGCACGTCATATTAGCGGGACTGTCCAACGTTTACTCCGACTACATCGCCACCTACCAGGAGTACCAGGTTACTGAATCTATTAATACTAACTCGCATGCGGAGACTGCTGGCTTCCACTGCCAGCACTGCGGGCGCCACGCACGTCATATTAGCGGGACTGTCCAACGTTTACTCCGACTACATCGCCACCTACCAGGAGTACCAGGTTACTGAATCTATTAATACTAACTCGCATGCGGAGACTGCTGGCTTCCACTGCCAGCACTGCGGGCGCCACGCACGTCATATTAGCGGGACTGTCCAACGTTTACTCCGACTACATCGCCACCTACCAGGAGTACCAGGTTACTGAATCTATTAATACTAACTCGCATGCGGAGACTGCTGGCTTCCACTGCCAGCACTGCGGGCGCCACGCACGTCATATTAGCGGGACTGTCCAACGTTTACTCCGACTACATCGCCACCTACCAGGAGTACCAGGTTACTGAATCTATTAATACTAACTCGCATGCGGAGACTGCTGGCTTCCACTGCCAGCACTGCGGGCGCCACGCACGTCATATTAGCGGGACTGTCCAACGTTTACTCCGACTACATCGCCACCTACCAGGAGTACCAGGTTACTGAATCTATTAATACTAACTCGCATGCGGAGACTGCTGGCTTCCACTGCCAGCACTGCGGGCGCCACGCACGTCATATTAGCGGGACTGTCCAACGTTTACTCCGACTACATCGCCACCTACCAGGAGTACCAGGTTACTGAATCTATTAATACTAACTCGCATGCGGAGACTGCTGGCTTCCACTGCCAGCACTGCGGGCGCCACGCACGTCATATTAGCGGGACTGTCCAACGTTTACTCCGACTACATCGCCACCTACCAGGAGTACCAGGTTACTGAATCTATTAATACTAACTCGCATGCGGAGACTGCTGGCTTCCACTGCCAGCACTGCGGGCGCCACGCACGTCATATTAGCGGGACTGTCCAACGTTTACTCCGACTACATCGCCACCTACCAGGAGTACCAGGTTACCGAATCTATTAATACTAACTAATAATAACGAGCAGCTCGATGGCGCAAGTGGTTAGCGCGTTCGGCTGCGATCGTTGACTTAAGCAACTTTCGCAGTGGTCGGTTATTGGATGGGTGACCAAAAATTACTATCTCGAGCTCCTCCGTGCACTGGGCCCTCGCGGTGGGTCATGGCCCAATCTCCCTTTTCCATCCATAGGGTCAACCTGTCATTAATAGACTGATGATGATGATCAATAATATGGCGACTGTGCCCGGCGAGTTGACCACCAGGAGACCGGTTCGAAGGACTTCACGAGTTTTACACCATGCTTTAAGGTAACTAACCAGGCGGGCGTTAAGTGCCCACAGTCAAGATTAGGAATAAAATATAAAAATGTAATGTGAGCAAAGGTTTCATATTTATACTAGCTGACCCAGCGAACTTCGTACCGCCCTAAAAAATAGGGGTTGTCTAGCGGACAAAATTGTGAATCTAAACCATTCTCAGATCCCCTTGAACACACACAAAAAATTTCATCAAAATCGGTCCAGTCGTTTAAGAGAAGTTCAGTGACATACACACTCACAGAAGAATTATATATATAAAGATTTCTTAAGAAGGTAATCCCGTGTAAGTTATAAAAAAATGTTATGCTTATCCAAAGTGTTTTTAATGTTTTTAGGCTCAACGATACGAGGCTGCTTCTACAATATTCGGACCACACACTTTGGAAATCTATCTTAACAAATACAAAGAACTTACCGAGGCGTTGCTTAACGTAAGTATACCTATCATTTTACTAATATTATTAATGTGAAAATTTGTATGTTAATTACGCGAAAATTACTGAACAAATTTTGGTAAAAATTTGGTACGCATTTATAATGTATGGCCTAGATTGACACACAGGATACTTTTGTGCCGGAAAAGGGTAAAGTACCAGAGTAATTATAAAAAGAAACTAAAGTTAACGCGGGCGAAGTCGCGGGCGGCCGCTAGTAATGTATAAATACACTTCCGAAAAGTTACCGCAGAAAAAATAGCATAATATTGAAACAGTTTGTACCTATCGAAAAGAACAAAACAAAGTTAATAAATTACAGGTTGATGATGATAAAGTTCAAATCAATATATAAATAAGGGCCCAGTCACGTCCTTGAGGCAGTATATCTAGGTTCCAGAGCTCCACGGGGTAGCGGATAGGGTCAGGGTAGTCAAAGACGTGAGTGTTGTCTGTTATCGCAAGCGTCTAAAGGATATCGCGGCCACTTACCATCCGGCGGTCCACGTAATGATTGTATATCACATTTTTACATAAATAAATTTTATGAAAGTGGCTATAAGTATATACACCGCGTTTTTTTTGTTGTTACCTGAGAAACTTTACAAGCTAATTCAGACAAAGATTTTAGTTATAATTTTTATTTTATAAGCATGTAACTGCTTGATGTTTAAATCTAAAGAAAATATAACTAGAAAAAATTCCACGCGAACCAGGCAGCAGACGGGACTCGAACCCGCACCCTTCGCTATCCGGGCGAATGCACTGACCAATTATGCTACTGCGTCGAAATTCCTCTAGCCATTATTAAGCTGCAAGGCAACGCCACTTCTTCGTATTGTAGGTAACCCACAATGTCAAATGATAATGACAAAGATTTTAGTTATATTTCCGCAATTTTTTTTTCGATAAATGTGTCCATGTTATCTTACTAATTGTGCAATTAAGAAACCTTAGCAATTTTAATTTCAACGACTTTTTGGATCTACGTACTTTAAATGGATAATAATTCCATAGTAGGTATGTTATTTACAAAGCTCCGTTTTAAGATGTTTTGTAAACGATATTAATCAATATTTATGTATGGGGGTGTCGTCCGTTTACTATTTATAACTGTTCACACTATTTTTATTTAGACGATTTTTAGGTTTCTGTGGTAATTCAAAATTCGCGGTGTAAATTTATTTATTTCAATAGAACTTAGTAGCATTGTAAGAAATTTATTTAATGTAATGCTTGTCGAGGTGTTATTTTTTGTTTCTCTATTACTATCTCATATTAACAGACAACTCATAAGCCATTTCAGATGATCACAAGCATAGCTACTGATCTCACATAAAATATATATCATGAATATACGTCCAATACTGTGTCAAATGCTTTATTGAAATCTGACAATGTAGAAGTACTTTCGGTGAAAAATAAGTAGTTACCTAATATGGTCTTTATCGTTATGCTTTTAATTAATAGATATTTCATATTCTTTAATTACACATAATTACAGAGACGTATTTTTAATTTTCCTAGTAAACATGTTATTGTTATGTCTTTAAATTTGTTTACGTGCGAATGCGATTGGCTGTTATTAAACTTACATACGTTAGCAACTAATTAAAACAATTCTAGTCACTGTTTTTGAAGTTATACTTCTTTAGGCGCGTTATGAAAAAATGATGAGAGTGAAATTTTAAGATGCGCGCGCATCACTGTAGCACAAAATTTCCTCGCTAAAGCGACCAACTTCATGCTGTTACTTTTGTGTTTACCGCACATTAAGAAAATCTACCAACAAAATAGAAATAGAATCTCTATTTAGTGGGTGCTAACGACTGCATTGTGAAGGCCTATCAAAAGTATTTATTAATCTGGAACAACGGAACCAAAGCGCGATTCAGGAGACTACAGCGCCATCTCTTGACCATTGGTGTAGTAGAACCAAAAACCACATCTTTATTTTTTGTAATAAAGTAACAGTTATAGGTATTCATATTTATAATATTTATCCACATGTTTCTAGTTTGTATATTCGGAATACGTGTTTGAGTTTCATACAAGTGCAAATCACATATGTTCTAATAAATTATATTCAGTAGCGATTTTAATTGAATATTTTGATAATTTATTTATTTTTTCAAATTAAAACTGAACTTTATTGACTATGTCCTTTTCCAGACTTTTTATTAATTTATCGTAATTAATTATTTGCATGCAATTAAAAACTAATTTTAAACGATGCCAAAGAAGGATAACTTCTCACGCGCCTACATAAGTACACGCACCCATTTTTTTTCCTGTAACAGCAGTAAGTGCTGACAGAGCTCGATTGCGTAGGGCTTTCAGCCGCCAATGTCTAAAATAAGTATTTATTTTTGCAAACACAATACACATTTATAGTAAATTCAGTTAAAAACACAGTCAGCATAAGCGGCTTACTAATTTATTTATTTATTTAAACTTTATTGCCACAATTACAAAAATGGACAAAAGGCGGACTTAACGCTAAAAGCATTCTCTGCCAGTCAACCTTTAGGCATAAAGAAACCCACGAATGCGGCTATAATAAAAAAAAAGTGATTTACTTTAAACATACACCAGTAAAAGTAACTACATAAACTAATCACGAAACTCTAGCCGCAGATGATAAATTTTTCCTCCGAGGAACGGCTTATTAAAGTCCCTAACATCCACGCAGATCGAACGTCTAACCACTGGCGCCGTCAAGTTCCTTTCTATGTCACTTGTCTCAATCCTAGTGATCAAAATAATGGAAATTCATTTAGAAACACTTGACACGCACAAAGGGTATCCCAGTAGTGGCGGGTTCGTCGGACTTCTGTGTGGTGTAAACGCTCGTTGCTGTCGTTTCTGAGTCGCGGTCATTATCCGAAAACACACATACGAGTATAATACGAATATAGAACCACCCCCTTATTTGTTTGAAGTCGGTTAATAAACACTTGACATACACAAAGAGTACCAAGGTGCTTCAATGGTGACAATGATGTTGGTCGGGCATTTTGTGGTTGTGTTGACTCCGAATTTCGTAAGCGCGATGTAGGCTTTCCATGCTATTCAGTGCGTCACCAGTAGCGCCATCTCTTGACAAGGAGAGTGATATCATTCTCCAGTTATATGTGGTGTAGATGTCGCCTCCACATCACTTCCTTCCCGAGACCGGAAGACGATTGTCCAAGTTTTCAGCAGTCTGCGCGTCAGAGCTTGCAACTGCTAGATTGCTACAGGATGCCTCTTAAGACACACTAGGAACTCGATGGCGCAAGTGGTTGGCGCATTCAGCTGCGATCGTTGTAGTTAAGCAACTTTCGTCGGTAATTCGATGGGTGGTAATAAAATTACTATCTCAAACTCCTCCGTGCTCCGTAAAGCACGTAAAGCCGTTGATTTCGGCTACCTGCCGTCGTTAGTATCCACCAATCTGCACTGGGCCCGCGTGGTGGGTCATGGCCCAAACTCCCTATTCTATCCATATATCTTTTTTTTGAAATATTATATTATTATTGTATCTGTTATTTATATATTTTTTTTGTTTGTTTTTAAATACAAATTATAATGAAATTATTTATTAAGGCTATGTGAATCAATTCAAATCGTAAAATGAAGTTGTTGACTTACATGAAATTAACGTATATTGTACCTACTGAAGATGAGATGTGACGTTATGTGATTTTCTTTTGAAATTTTATTTTATCAATGTATTTGACTTTTTATTTTGCAAATCAGTATTTTACATAGACTAAGAGACATGCTCTAAGTACAAAAAAGTAATGACATAATTATAAATCTATATTACAATTAATATTTGCATGCTGGAAACGGCTAATTGTGCGATCTGACCTAATCATTTAAAAACATCATTGTAACCACAATTAATGGAAATAAATTTCATTTCATTTCATAGGGAAGGCCTGTGCCCCAGCAGTGGGTACATTAATAGGCTACCTTATTATTTGTTTGAAGTCGGTTAATACACCTGGCACATACATAGGGTACACCAGTGGAGCCGGGTCCGTCGCCGCCAGACTTCAGCGATCAGCTCATCACTTTGGTCCCCCCCGTGTTGTGGGACGCGGCGCCGTGGGGTCACGAGTTTGGGGACTGCCTGCGCCAGCCGCGATCCAGGTACAGCTGGGGGGACACCGTCACTGCTACGTTTGTGAGTTTCTTTAATGTTATAATATAAATAAGACACAATTTTATTAACCTGTTATCTGTCGCGGTTAAATAGGGTATTTGACAAGTTTTAGAAAACGATCTCACGTTATTTACTAATGTTTATAGAGTCAATAAAAAGTGGATATTCATCATTATGTTGTATATTTCGGTAAAAAAACTTAATCAAATACTCTATTTCCAAGTTGCCGCGAAAACGTATATCTGGACAATATGGCGTCTTACTGGTGTGTGACGTCACACGAATGTCATTACAAACCACACAATCTAATGTCACTTTAACCGGAAGTTTACTTGCGTGTGACGTCATTTTAGACTTCACCAATCACAAGCGTCTTGGGTCACGTGAAAATAGACAAGAAAACTATTATCTTTATCGTGGGTTTTTAGTAAAATTATGAATATTTTTTCTGTAAAAATAATAAAAACTCCTGCCAATATTCATTCTTAAAACAATGCTAAAATTGGGCACTTTATTTTTAATACTGTCAAATACCCTATTGCATATTATCAACTGTCAAACTACTACAAAAGTACTCCTGTACCCTTAGTACGACTTTGAGCTCACGAAAACTATCATAGTTTTCGTAATTGTAAATGTTTCTATGTCCGTTTTGGTGAAAAGTAACCAAATATACTTAAAATTGAAGAAGACGCAAATGATTTAATGATATAATTTAAACACTGATTATTCGTATTGTAACGAAAACAGTAAAATCGGTACCCTTAGTACGAGTGCGAGCTCACGAAAACTATCAAAGTTTTCGTAACACAATTACGAAAACTTTGATAGTTTTCGTGAGCTCGTACTAAGGGTACTGGACTACTTCCGGCCACTCATTAAAATGATGATATCTTAATTTTGTCTTCGTTTAATTTAACCTACTTATTATATAAGCTATTAAATTATGTATAATAGATTAAAGTTTTATATTAAAATTAATCATTAATTCAAAGGTGAAAGTAGCACAAGTGATTTTACTTCAGTCTTCTGCATAAAAATTGTTATAAGCATCTTTAAGATTGTAGCCTTCATTTTAGCAGAATGTAGCTTGAGTTTAGAGACGCCAATTGAAACACTGCATCGTGATCTAGCTCAGGCAGATTCGAGGTGGTATTTTCGTAATTATGACCTTTTTCAACGGAATTTTGTGAAATGGCTGAAATGGATATATTATTTTTTCTTTTCAATTTCTATGAATCTTTAATTTATTAATAATCATATTTGCTTATTAAGTTTTCACGCATACCTCTTATTTAATAAGTAAAATTTTTCAACGGGCTTAAAATGCGTTTTTTATACTTATTTTAACATAACTCGACGTATCGCGCATCCTTTTCAGGATGCATCGTCTTATGAGATGATTTTTATTTTGATATTATCTCCTCTTACAACGTCGAAGTTAAAGTAAAAGTATTAAAAAGGCATTTAAAACCCGTTGGGAAAATTGATTTATTCATTAATAATTAATTATATATTCAATAACAAAGGCAGTATAGCCACGCTCAACTAAGTATGTAGTATTTTATTATATATCACTTACGATATTATATTATTTGACGGTGATCACTTACCATCAGGTGAGCCGTTTGCTCGTATGCCACCTATAACATAAATATATATATATATATATATATATATATATATATATATATATACATATTATTTTAAGCATTTATGTTTAAATCTAAAGAAAATTATTTACTTCTTTAAGTTATCTCAACATTGTGATTCTAGCTACATTTTCAGAGAAAATCTTAATCATAATTTTTGTTTTTTAAGCATGTATCTGCTCGATATTTAAATCTAAAGAAAATATTACTAGAAAAAATTCCACGCGGACCAGGCAGCAGACGGGACTCGAACCCGCACCCTTCGCTATCCGGGCGAATGCACTGACCATTATGCTACCACGCCCGTGATGGCCGTGTCGAATCCATTCTAGCCTTCTAGCCTATCTTAAGCTGCGAGACAGCTGTCACCTCTTCGCATTGTAGATAACCCACAATCTCCTATGTGGGTAAATGTAAATCTTTAGTCTGTGATTTTTGTAGGTTTCCGGCCACCCTCGTAACAGCATCAGGCATGGCCGAACATATATGACGGTGGAGAAACTGGTATCTGAACAGGACGACGCGTGGACAGTAGTCGCTACTGACGCCGACTGGGATACCAAGTATGTTGATCAAATATTTATATGACATCGTTTTTTTTTATTTTTTATTTCATATCGAAATTAACAATTACAGAGCTAAAAAGCATGCCATAAATAAATCGCATGGATTTGTCCGGTGTGCTAAGTACAAATACGATTGAATATCATCTTTTATATAAAATTCTCGTGTCACACACAATGTTAGTTACCATACTCCTCCGAAACGGCCTGACCGATTTTTATGCATATTCCGTGGGTCTGAGAATCGGCTACTGTCTATTTTTCATATCCTTAAGTGATAATGGTTGTCCACCTGTAACGTAGTGTTCTGAAATCTACAATGCGCCTTCGCACCAAAATTTAAACTATTGGGTATTGTAACGTAGTGTTCTCATATGGGTTAGGAGGAATGTTATCCCAGGAAATTGATAGAACACTACGTTATACACCCCTAAAAATTTATTTCCACAATATTTATTTTTTTATAATTTGGTATTTAAAAATACATACAATCCTAAATTTTCACCCTTCTACCAGCAGCCCCTATTTTTATGGCGGTACGAAGTTCGCTGGGTCAGCTAGCTAGCTATAATATTAAGGTGGCATACGATTCAATAGCATATTAACATAATATTTTTACAAGTATCATTACAATTGTTGAGCGAGAGGCAAATAGCAAAGTGACGTGAGGGGAAGGGATCGTGCCGCAAACACCAGCGAGGCGATTCTGTAAAATTTTCATGCGCGGATCCGATTGGGATCCGGTGAAACGAGGATTATAAACTACGTAAAATCTCCTCACTAGAGGGAACGTTATAATTTACAATATCTCGGAAAGAGTAATAAGATAGGATATTTACAACATCATCTTAAAATAAAAGGCTTATTCATACATTCCTAAAATTTGTTCGAAATTAGGCCACGCGTCACAAGATCTTGGTCACACTATATTGACATGGTTCATTAAACTTAATGTTCGACAACAGTCTCTCCTTTTCATTCTGTATGCTCTCATGACAAGGATACACCCTTTTTTGTCAAATAAAACTTAGGTTTACATAATCGTGTCCATTATCATTGGAGAATGTTGAATTTTTGCACTATTATCAGTTTCTATTATTATCAGGAATATATTCTTATAATTATCATATAGGAATAGGGATTATGAATACTTTTTGATAATCTACCTGATAGATGAAGAAAAAAGTTAGCCATCATCCTTACTGTAGTCACTGCAACTGTGAGATAAAACCGTAAAATCGTTACGTTTGCTTGAACCTTCTCAGGTACATATGGAAGCGCAACTCCAAGATATTGGGCACCAGCGAAGCAGAAGTCGAATGGGAAATCCCCGAAGGGACTCCCCCGGGAACTTACCGACTCCATCACTATGGCAACTACAAGTACATCCTCGGCGGCATCTACCCTTACCATGGCTTCTCAGACTCTTTCGAAGTCACATAAAGATTACTCACCATCAACGAAAGGTTTCCAAATATAAAGAAAAGCACCATGTTTAGCTTATTCAATCCGATTGAGGATAATTTTGTTGATAGATGTTGCCAAATGTATAATATAGTCATAATTATAATAAGAAAGGTGATTACGTATTTCGCGTGTAGTGTAAGTAATTATTTTTTATTTTTGATACAAATTGTAACATACGTAACCTACATAATACATATTATTTTATTGAAATCGTCTGAAGTGCTACAAAATAATAAGAACAAATAGTTAACTCTATAAACAGCTTTTAAGCTCCTTTAGTTAAGTAAAATAATGTCTGGATTTTCATGGCCTTTTAAAAAAGGGTATTTTACTCTACTTGGGAAACAAATCTTTAAATGTATTATGGCGATAGTTTAGGCAAAAGTGTTAGTTTCAGTTCATAAAATAACCAAATGAATTTTTAAATTCAATGGTGCCAATTCTGGCGTGATTCTCTAAACTTAAAACTAAATTTAACATCAGTCTCTCCTTTTCATTCTATATAGAGAGTGACAGGGATACACTGCTGTCAAATTTAAGTTTAGGTTTAGAATGCTAGAATCGACACTGTTTTCACGATTGTCTTTTTATCTGTTTTAAAACGATGAAAGAGTAGACGTAGTATCCGCCATATTATTACGTCACACACCACTAGAAGCCAAAGCGTCAGCTGTCAACTCAGTAGGGTGAACTCATCTAACTTCGTGACAAAGGCATTTGAGTGATACAATATCAATAAATTATTTATTAATTTAATTCAGTCTTGACACGAGTTTCAATCAGTCTTTTATGAGGAACATAGGCATAAGTAATCACCTTTTTTTATAAAAACCTAAAAGCTATACCCGATTTACTAAAGCAAGTCAACTTGCCTTATTCCGTAGTAACCTCTTTAAGTCCGTGATAGGCACTACTTGTATTCTGATATAACGGAATTAGACAAGTTAACTTGACAAAAAGTAATACAAAATGAAATTAACATGAACATAAAATAACAACATTAACATCGTAGTAATATTTTTTAGAATTCTCCTTCGGCGTAACACATATCACACTTAAAAATCGTCACATTATCCTCAAATTCTTGACTTTGGCAATATACATGGTACGTTTTAAAGCAATAGGAACAGGAAATCCAGTCTGCTCCATTTTTTGATTGTGCATCTTCTGAGTACCATTTTTTACATATGTCACATAGCCAGTCATCGTCTTTAGTTTTATTTTTCTTCTTAAATCGTTGCTTTGTAGGTGCAATATTAGCTTTATTTTCTCTATTACCTCGTTTCACGCTTTTGTCAGATTTTGTGCTAGTGCTAGGAACAGCAGCGTTATCTTGGTTCAATGGAGTTAAACAACGTGCGTGAGGGACGGCCCTGTTCGTGCGTTTTTTTATAGAATTTAGCTCCAATTTGGGCATTTTTAAAATAAGTTCACATTGCTCTGTTACCTTTTGTTTTGATACCGGAGCTGGAATTATGACTTCTTTTAAAATTCTAACTTTTGAAGAGCTGTTTAGTTTAATTGGTTCATCTCCTTGTTGAATTGAAACTCTTCGGATACAGGGACCTTGTGCTGTCATTATTTCAGTATAGTTCTGGATGGAGAAACCTTGTGCAGTTACAATTTTAGACTGGTTTTGGATGGAGGTGTCTTGTGTTGTAGCTATTTCGGTATTTTGTTGACCATAAGAATCAAGAGATTTCAGTACAGATGCTGTGGGTATTACTTCAGAATCTTGGGCTCGGTCAGGACAGTGTTGGTTGGAATAGTTTGAACTTTCTAATATACTTGCTCTTGAGATCGTGTCATTATTATGGGTACCTTTATGCAAATAACGTTTTAATGGAATTCTAACTTTTCTGAGTCTGCTGGATTCTTTATTACTGTCGTCGTCTGTATTACTAGGTGTTTTAGTTAATTTTTGGTTAGAACGTTTAGCCGAAACCTCATTTTGACCCAGATCACTAGTCAAAACTTCGTCCCGTTCAAACTGGAAAGGTAGATTAGCATAGTCTACTTGAGAACCCACTGAATGAAGTGGATCATATACAGGATCATCTGTCTTCAGAGACCAATTTTCTTGGTCCATGCTACAGTAAACGATTTCCTGTAAATGTTGAATCGGAGTTGTGCTTGTTTGCTGGATTTGTTCATCTTTATGAAGTGTGACCTTTTCTATCGGTCCCAGAAACGGTTTGTTTGTTAACTTTGATGGAGCAAGCGCCAGTGGATTCACAGCTGTTCTATTAAATGGATAAATACCCGCTTTTTCGAATCCAGCTCGTATGTTTGATGGTGTGAAGCTTTTTTCAAATGCAGGCGTAAAAAATTTATAAAAATCATAGCGGGTTGGCGAGTTGAAAGGATTTTTCATTTTGTAGGCTTCAATAGTAGTCCTCCAGGCTGCTTTCAGTGGTCGATGAACGCTGATATCCAGTGGTTGGAGAATGGCGCTCGTGTGCGAAGGTATTGTAAACAATAATATATGTTGTGATCGAGCGTACTCCAGTACAGGTGGCACAATGTGACTGGCATGTGAGTCCATTATTAATAGAACTGGTCTTGCTGGAGGAATACATCTAACAAAGAATTTTAACCAGTCTAGGAATAATTCACCCGTGATCCAACCTTTAGGAGAAAAACGTATTTGGGTGTTTGGCATGAATCCTGTTGCGAGCTGTGGTATGACTCTTACACCTTTGAATATAATAAATGGAGGGATATAACATCCTGTTGCATCTACGCATGCTAATAATGTTGTTGTCGTACCTTTTTCTGCGTATGTTCTGTTATAAACATATTTCTTTCCAACGTTTGTCACAACTTTGTTTGGTTTATTGACAAACATCAGACCCGTTTCATCACAGTTCCAAATTCTTTCGGGTGGGATGTCATGTTCGAATATTTGTTTTTTTAATTTTTCGTAAAAATCTTCCAACACAACCGGGTTTGAGCAAATTGCTCTACCTGCTGAAAGATTTTCCGGTGTTCGCAAAGACAACCCGTAACGTTCTTTATACTTCACCCACCAATTCCAACCTGCGGATCCCTTTTCTTCATTAAATGGGCAGCTGATTTTCGCAACTTTTGCCAAAGCCAATGCAATCTGTTTTATTTTGGTGACTGAAAGACCAAAACCAAGCTCCTGCATCTCAATAATGTATGCTAGTAACTTTTGTTCTATTTCCACAGGTAACGCAAACGGTCTTCCTATCTTGGACATTACGATCCGATCATCTTGATTGCTCTGTCGTAGAGATTTGTACTTCATCACATTTTCTTTTAATGTCGACCATGGAATCTTACACTCTTTAGAAGCTCTGTAAATTGTCATTTTTGAACTCAAAACATTTTCAACAGCGGTTTTAAGATCGAATTCCGAGTACTTTCTGTTCTTTTTGTTATCCATGATATCTGAAAGTTAACATAATAATAATTAATCACTCAATACTCATAATCATCACTATTCACTTAATAACGTGACAAGTCTTAAAAAGTATCACTTAAATCCGTGATAAAAAATATCTTATATTGACTTAAAGTCGTTATTATAATTACGGAAAGATAAAACTACTGAAATAATATCAATCTTGTGTACTTAACTTTAAATATATTCCTCGTTTCAGTTAAAATAACAAATAATTTAATATGACTACCATAATTTTGTGATAGCATGAAAACCACTCAAACGCTAAAACACTAACAATTTTGACGAACCAAATAAGCTCTTACACTTAGAGAACACAGAAATAGGACGATTTGTGAACTGGCACGTCAAAAGAATATCTTATACAATGCATTTTAATTGAAAGAAGCTAAGAAATTGATTAAATACTTACATAAACACAGGAAAGTTCGCCAACCATTCACAAACTGCTGAACGCCACGAGATTTGCGCGCGAACTGACAAAACCGTTGATTGTTGCTATCTCGTTCAGTCCAGCGAACCTAAACTTTGCATGCGAATTCGAGCTTTGTTTCCAAAGTTTAAGGTTGTATTTAAAGTGGCTGATTCCACTCGCATAGCTCTATGAATGCCATCAAACTAAATATCACAGAATTAGGTGACTCACGAAATTAGATGAGTTTACCCTACTTTGATTAATGTTTTCGTAACCAAGGTAACGCATATATTTACAGTACTAATGACGTCGAACCCGCAGAGCAATATGGCGTCTACTTGGTCCAGCGTTTACGTTTAATTACGCGCGAAATATTTTTTTATTTTAAATGCATTTTAACGATTTCATATAATTTCATGTTTTTTGTAGCATGTTAGCTCTTAAAATTTAATTCAGACACTTTTAAAAAATGGTTGTAATAATACCCTATGACACCCATGTATCGCTTTTAACAATAACTGCCTGATTCCAAAACGTGGACTTAAGTTAGTCTTGGTTTATACTATACCTGATTTTCTTCTGTCTTCATCTTAGCAAACAAAAGCGACAGTATCAGTTTTAAGTCCAGATTTAACTTTAGCCTAAGTTTTGTAATAAGGCAGTGAAGTTCTAACTAAATAATAATAGACCCTTAACCTATAGATCAGTACCCCTAGCACGAACCATTATCGAATTCGATGCATATGCACGAAACTTTATTTATTTATTGACGTTTCATTTCATTACCCGTGAAAAACTAGTTTTATTTAATGAGTGATGTGCGTGAAAACCTAAGAAACGAAATGTCAATGTCAAATTTTGTATGAAAACTTGAACAGCAGCGGCACAAAGTACGTAACGAGGACTAAAAATCAGTACACATTTGACAATGACATTTCGGACTCGCAAACGATACGAACTCGATATTGGTTCGTGCTAAGGGTACAGAAAATAAATCAGTGTAAGTTTTATTTCTTGGGCAAGTGTGTGAAAAGGTATACTTAGCTATTTTTGAGCGTTTGTTTCTGATGGCGCGATTATACTTGGTCGCTAGCTCGAATAGGAGTGTCTGTGGAATTCGGGTAGTGTAAATGAATGGGGTCGAGTGCGCCCCGTCGTATTCGGGTAACTTTCCTTTTTGTTTAACCGACACCGTCTTCCAGCGGGTCAATTATGCTTTAGTGATATAATCATAATGTGATGTCAATATGATGTTGATGCCAACTTGACATTGTTTTTAAATTGGTATTATGAAACATTCCTATGTCACATCAAGATTATATCAATATCATATCCTGTATCACATTTTTGACGTTTTTGCGATACTGTTTTAAGTCAAAAAGTTGAACGTAATACGCATTTAAGTTGATATCATTTTAAAGAGTTGATCATAATAGGTACGCATAAGTTGATGTCATTTTGATATCGCATTTTTCGGAGAGCATAATACGTAATGTGAAATTGACATCAAAACAATATCACAATTAGCGAGCATAATTGGCCTGCAGCGCGTATTCCAGCGTAAATATTGTTTCGGATGCCCGAACTCGAGTAATGTCTTTCGTGTACCCGTATACGGGCTAACGACCGAATGTAATTGCGGCATAATGAAGGTGTATGTTTTACTAAGACTGTGATAACTGAACTGAGGGATTTAGTTAAACGGCTGAATATGGATATATCACTA